GAACAAAAAAAAAACACGACACTTTTGAAATTCCTTTACCTCATATCTCCACACAGGAGCACTTCAGAACATAATTCAAACAGATTTGGGAAGCTACAGTATAGGGCTACAACTTTCGCTTTTTGACCATTTTTGGTAATTGGTCATGTGACCATCATCCCAACATCCTCTTACATGGACCCTGATAGGTAAAGTCATTCTCCTCTTGGTTTTCTTCACTTTTTAGTCAAACCAGGTGATATTTCCCTTTTGGGATGGACCCTGAAGTGGACCCTGAAGGTAGTGCCTGATGTTCTGTATTCAAAGCATTCATGCCCTGGGTATCCATTGAAAAATCGCAATGAAATGCACAGGGCCACATTTGGAAAATCGCAATGAAATACCCAGGGCTACATTTGAAAAATCGCAATGATATTGCTCATGTAGCTAATGAAAGTTGCAATGATATCACCCAGGCACCTAATGAAAATTGCAATGATATCGGCCAGATAAATAATGAAAATCACAATGATATTGACCAAGTAGCTAATGAAATTTCCAATGATATCGCCCAGGTTTCTAATGAAAATGGCAATGATATTGGCCAGATAAATAATGAAAATCACAATGATATTGACCAAGTAGCTAATGAAATTTCCAATGATATCACCCAGGTTTCTAATGAAAATTGCAATGATATTGACCAAGTAGCTAATGAAATTTCCAATGATATTGCCCAGGTTTCCAATGAAATTTCCAATGATATTGCCCAGGTTTCTGATGAAAATTGCAATGATATCGGCCAGATAAATAATGAAAACCGCAATGATATTGGCCAGATAAATAATGAAAATTGCAATGATATTGACCAAGTAGCTAATGAAATTTCCAATGATATCGCCCAGGTTTCTAATGAAAATCGCAATGATATTGGCCAGATAAATAATGAAAATTGCAATGATATTGACCAAGTAGCTAATGAAATTTCCAATGATATCGCCCAGGTTTCTAATGAAAATCACAATGATATTGACCAAATAGCTAATGAAATTTCCAATGATATTGCCCAGGTTTCTAATGAAAATTGCAATGATATCGCCCAGGTTTCTCATGAAAATCGCAATGATATCAGCCAGATAACTAATGAAAATCGCAAACGATATTGACCAAGTAGCTAATGAAATTTCCAATGATATCGCCCAGGTTTCTAATGAAAATCGCAATGATATTGGCCAGATAAATAATGAAAAGCACAATGATATCGGCCAGATAACTAATGAAAATCGCATAATGAATAGACATGGTAACTGGAATGATTCCTATCATAAAGACTGTGGACTTATACACAGGGAGCCCTAGGCAGTTACCTTATTTATATGATAAAAGTGGTACCCACCAGTCGGACACAAACCTATCCGAGAGGAGAATATTTATGGAACAGACAAATCAGGGTTCTTTCCAGAAGGCGGTGTTAGGGTGCGTGTGATTGGACCGAGAGGAAAGAAGACTCAGCATCAGCAGTCGGATGGTGGGAGGGAAAATACCACAGTCATTGTCACGATTTGTGCTGATGGATCATCGTTGAAACCTGCCATTCTCTACAAAGGACAATCATATCATGTCAAGTGGGACCAGGAAAATCCCACAGAGGCCTCGTACGTCTCAGTATTCATTGAAAATTCTTGCTTCTCACCAACATTCTATGTAGACTTGGTTATTCGAAAAAGGGCTGGACCGATGGTGAGATTGGGGTGGAATACATCAAAGATTTCCATGAACAAACGAAGGCAAAAGCAAATGGACATACTCGGGTGCTTCTTGTGGATGGCCACAATTCTCACTACACGCTCGGCTTCCTCCTCTTTGCACGTAAGCATCGAATTCACGTCTTGTGTTACCCTTCCCATGCAACCCATGTGTATCAAGGTCTTGACATGGTCATATTTGGGCCATTAAAGCTGTTTTGTACTCAGGAGAAGGACAGGTGGTTGCGTGAAAAGAGGACAAAAGTCGACAAGACGAACTTTTTACATATCTATGGTGCTGCCCATGTCTGTGGGTTGACACCCGAAAACATCAAGGCCGCATTTCGTCGAACGGGTGCATGGCCTTTCAATTGCTCAGTCATCACTGTGGAAATGATGGCTCCAAGTGTCGAAACCTCTTGCCAGGGTTACCTTCCAGTCCAACCAACCACGCCTGTCCGAGCTGTGACCACCTTGATTCACGGTGTGCACAAGCGCGCCCACGCCATGGTGGTGTCAGAGACTGATAGCATGGACAATGAAGCCTTACCTTGCACCCCACGCTGTCGCCAAAACCCATTCGATACGCCTGTCCGCACAGCCCTCCAGTCACTTTGCACGTCATCCCTGTCCTATCTCATCACTTCATCCTCAATCCAATCAGCGGCGGAACCACCATCATTCACTGCTTGTGTGATCTCACCACCTGTCACCCGTCATCTCACTGTTCCGGAAACAGCGCTCAAGTCAGAACTGCAAGAGGAGTTAGCAAAAGCAAAAGCAAAGCTGGATGTGCAGAAGACTCACCTCATTGCTCTGCAGTCCTCGTTGGTCCTGAATGGCATTTATGTCAATGACGTTCGAGGTCAGTTAGCAGCACAAGAGGAGGCAAAGAAAAACAAACAGAGGAAGGGTCGACTGGTAGCGGATGGCCGGCCTCGCCTTTACACAGCAAAGCAATTCACACAAGAGGTCAAATTGCACACAGAGGAAATGATTCGAAAGGAAGCAGAGGCGAAGTTGCGCAAGGAACAACGAGTGGCAAAAGCAATTACAACCGAGGGACAAAAGGTAGCCGAGGCTGAGCAGGTGGTGCAAAACAAGGAGATTTGTGCACAGTGGAAGGAAGAGGTTGTTGTGTGGGAGGCTGAGAGGGACCTTGCTAAGCGAGAGAAGTGCTGACCTGCGTGGAAGAAGCCAACTTTGAAGGGACGGCTCATCCCGAAACCAGCCAGTTGTGTTGCAGGAACGGTCGAGGCGATAGGGGCACCTGAAGGGGGAGTGAACACGGCCGTGGATGACAAGGATGAGGACGGTGTGACTAACTCCCAGAGCAGTGATTCTGACAGTAGTTCAGATGAGGACTCGGAATAGATACTAGTACTTGATGGCTCGTAGCATGGAATAGGACTGGGAACCAAAATGATATTGATTTATAGAGGGGGACTGCTAACTACTCTGAATGTGGGTCCAAGAGTTCTCCAAGTGTCCCATTCATGCCCTTTGCCATCTGTGTAATCTTTGCTGCTGCGAAAACCATTGACTCCATTAAGAACTTCGCCTCCACCATCAAACGGTCATAATCTCTCACCAGCTTGATGCCGTCATTGCATGTCCTCCGATGAGCCACATGCGAGCGCTTGAGCTCAGCAAGTAGGTGGGCACAGTTTGTGCATGTGTCATTGGTTTCCTCAGCTTGGGTGCTTTCTTCGTCTTTGATTTCAATGGCTGGGACAGGTGGGCTATCCTGGGATACCCCATCGTGTGTCAGGTTGTCGTACCACTGTTGGGAATTGATTTGGGAGTCGAGTATGCCATTTGCACCAAAGTCACTGGACAGGGAGAGAATCAGGCAATGAACAGGCAATATGATGTAGTAGACTCATGAAGTTGTCTTCAAGGAAGCTTTCAGAAAACTTTTCCGAGCTGCGCACTGGACTTGGGAAGACCCCAGCTTGTTTTTCAGCCACCTCAATATGATGATAGACAGCTTTCGTTGTGGCTCGTGACGTGAGCTTTTTGGATGATCTGCCAAGTTTAAAAGAGGGTGGAGGTGGAAGGTTTAAGTTCCGAGTAGCGTCTTGGAGGGAGGGATGTGTGCTCAAGGTCGGCTTGTCCATTGAGATGATTGTTGCTTCGAAGAAATATCTGCAGACAAACAAAGCCAAACTCCGGATTATATCCCAATTGAGGCATTTGTGACTGTGTCATTGAGTAGGTTGACACTGTTTCAACCGAAAGATGCAGTCCTCAACAACAGCACAAGGTAAAATTATTTAAAGTCCTGGAATGTAGAGTTAAGATACATTCTAACATTTTGTGTGACTTGAATCAGTGTGCTAGATGTGATATGTTCAGCTACAAATGTTTGTGTCATTGACCTGTTGATGACTGTACTTTGAATTTTTTTATGCCGTAAAGTGGGTTGCATTCACGTAAATGAGGCGATTAAAATGAGCCTACATAGAGGCCAAAAGATGGAAAACTTGTGAAGTTATAGCTACATGCTGCCTCAGAAAGTGTAAGAGTGGATTGATGGAAGTCGGTACAGCTGCGGGATGTCACATGACATGCTCAACTTAGATTTTTGAACTTAGGCAATTTCAGCTGTTACTGCTACGTCTCTGTGCTGTCTGTGCTGTTTCCATCACCTATACACATATGTTTTCATCTTTTCGGTGAGTCCATGATATTCTTGCTCTGGTAGTTGTGCTTCACAGGTATAGATAGGTGTTTTAACCATGGCAGCCACCACCACCACCATCATCGACAAAAGGTGATGACGGCCCACCACCATGACCCACAAATTCCCACCACTGTGCATTGACCACCATCCACAAGCGCCCACTGCTGCTGTCAATGACAATGAGTCACCATGGCAATGACCTTCATTCAAACACCGACGAGAATGTGAGCAAGCACCAGAAGGGCAGAAGGAAAGCAAACAGCTCAAACGTGACAGCTATGGCTGTCGCGTTGCCACGTCGCTTCTTCCTTCCACCACCACCACCACCATCCACCCCACCGTCTCAAGCCACGACCACCCATGACAACGACGTCAACAACGCCAACAATAACGATGACAACAATGCTGGCGACGATGATGACAACAATGCTGACAATGACCATGGATGATGGGTGGAGACGATGGTGAGCGGAAGGCCCAGGTAAGCCAGCAGCATGGCAATGAGATGATGGACGATGATGAATGTCATCATTGTCATTTCATTCCCCCTGCGAACAAACCACCCCACCCATAAACCTTGCTGACCCAGACCACAGGTGCCATGTCATGACGTGGCAACCAGACGATGAACGACAACATTGTTTGTCGTCTCTGTTTGCCCACTAGATCCACCACCACACCAACATCAATGACCACCCACCACCATGACTGCCCACTGACGAAGATCAGCGCCCACCAACGTCAACAACCACCCACGAAGACGAGTGCCCACAAATGCGAGCGCCCATGGTCATGAACGACCGCCCACAAAATGAAGGCGAATGCCCACAAAACGAAGATGACACCCACCAGACAACCGCCCAGTACCCCAAAAATGACAATGCGCCCCAAAAATGACAACGCGCCAGTTTGGGTGGCAGAAAGAAGAATGGTGTGATTTCGATTTGAAGTAACTTGTGGTTCAGAAACATTTCCATAGACAAGCGATTCTTTGTACACTAATTAATTACATTCAATACATTTTATATATTCAAGTATAGTGTGGTGAGGAAAATTGAAGGCCAAGTAATTAGCATAAGGTTGGCATCAGGGATCCCCAAGGACAGCCCAGGCCACCCCAGGACAACCTCAGCACACCTCAGGACAACCTCAGCGCACCTCAGGGCAACCTCAGGTTGCTACTGGGAAATCAAAAAAAGGAACCTGTACCTGAGGGTGCTCCAGGGCACCCTGATGCCCTGAGTTCCATGACAGCCTCTGGATATCCAGGGTAGACCCTGGATGCCCTCAGGGAAGAAGTGATTTTCCTGATGATTGTTGAAGTTTCTGCAAAATTGTTGAAGATTGTTCGCAAAATTTGACTTCCTTCCTTCACATGTTTCTGAGATGGGATAATATTCGACAATCTTTGACAATCTTTGGCAATCTTTGACAATCTTTGACAATCACCAGCTTTATTTCATGAAAAGTATGTAGGAAGAAAAGAAAAGTGGGTTTTGTCCACAGACAACCGTCAAAAAAAAGGTTACTCAAAAAACAGAACCCTATTTGGTCTTCTTGATCATCCTGGGGCATGGTTTGGGACGCGAGTTCTTTTCTGTCAGTTGTATTTTCTCTTCGCGGTGAATGTAATCAGGTCCAAACTAGTTGATGTCATGTGAGTCACCTCAAACTTAGTGGGTTTCACTTACCTGAAGATCATCATCATCTCCAGGACAATCCTGGTGATTCAAGTCTTCCATCCTTTCATACGGATCCCAATCTTGGTGATGTCCTGCATCCAAGCCCCATTGATAATAACTCGTGATCCCCGCAGCTCTTGAAACCTCAAACATCTCTGTCTCCAGATTCTCCAAGGCCTCGCATTCAACATCAATGTCGAACAAGACTGAAGGGATACTTGTAAATTGGATCCTCCAAGCCTTGTTGATGATTTCTGGCTGTGTGAGTACCTTCAACTTGGGTTCATTTTTGATATGTTCTGCAGTGTAAAGGGTGAATGCATGAGCTAGTGGTAAGTGCCCAAGCCAGGTCTCTGCATTTTTGCTGATGTGACACAGAAACCAATTTGTGATCTGGGCTCTCTTGACAATAGAAAGAGCTCCGCAATACGGAACCAAGCTTGTTTGAAGAGGCTTTTTGCTGTTTTCTAACCAATCTCTTGCTGGGATGATTTCACTCTTTAGGTCATCTGGACTGTAGCATGTGAGTAATTTCTTCAGAAGCTTTTTGAATGGTGAGAGGATTTTGTTGATCTCCTCGCTGTATGGTATTTTAGATGGATCCGCGAGAATGTCTTCTGAGGTTTCGATGTCCTGGGCATGTTTCCATTTTCCGAGCTAAAAATGCAGGTGAGTACATTATCTGATTAAACCAATGGTGTCACTCACCTGTATTGCTCGTCTTGCCAATCGGTCGTTCCACAATGAATCGACGATGTCCTTGGTATTCACAACAGAAAATCCACCAGCTGCAGGCTCATCCTTGTCAAGAAATTGATTTTCCCTCCACCAATGCACCCTCCAACCGTGTTGCACTGCCTGAATGAGGTGCACCGGATACCAAAACTGCTCATGTCTCGCTAGCGCGCCTCTCCCCGCTCTAATGAACAAATTTAAGTACCATTCATAGTGGAGAATATCGAGGTCTGACCGTAATCGTAACTCAAGTGGTTTATTCAATGCAAGACGTGCCTCAAGCTCCCTGTAAGATTTTTTGGTCAACTTGAACACTAATACAGACATTTCAAATCCTTACTTTCATTTGGACTTCCTTGACAAGGGAAAATGGTGTGACAAATCACATGAATCACAGATAAACGGGGCATCTGGCACAAGGTTACTGGCTCTTCCATTGCGCTGACATGCAATATGAGACCAATCACGACATTGATCACATTGGATAGCCACCCCATGCTCGTGGCGATAAAGAATATTACCATTACCAATGATCCCACATCAGCAGTTCAACTCAAATTCTGAATCTGGGAGAGAAGACAGAGGGCTAGTCGGTGATCCAGGTTGGGAGATTACACCTTCCTCAGGCTCTGGAGACAGAGATTCCTCAGTAATGTCAGCTGGTGCATCACGAGAAACATACTCGAGGGTCCGTGATCTCAAAGGGTTCAAAAGCCAGGTGCGCTTGTTGCTCTCGAGCTCAACAAATTGGTCCAAGTGGTAGGTCGTCGAAAAGAGCCTGTCAAGATTATTTGTTGAGAATCGCAAATTGAATTTCTTGGCGAGGGCAGCTGTTCGAACTTGAAAGAATAAATCCTGTGCAACAGCTCCTCCACGAAGCAAATAAAAAGCCTGATAGACCACAAAATTTTGAGGTAGGTCAACATGCTTTCCGGCCACATGAGTATCAAAGCTGGCAGGTTTGTCTCTGATTGGGTGACCATTATTCATCAAATCATCATACGTATAGATGACCTTCTTGTTGTCTGAGGCATACCGAGCAATAAAATGATTGCCATCTTCGTTGGTCAAAGCTAGTCCCATGAGATCATAAACAAGTCCATGAGAATTTGCCGCAGATTGGGTATGAGGAAGCAGCGTCGAAGGAAAATCCCATTCCTGAGGCATGGTCTCAGATGGATGCTCGTCACCAACTTCAATAGTGAAAAGAAGTGGGAGAGAAGTAAGCAGATAACAAATATCTTCTCTGGCACCCAGACAAAGAGGTACAGTCTCCTTGACGCGCCAGCACCTAGTTGCTGGAACTTGCTCTTTGTTTAGGGAGACCCAATCCGCAAAATACAGGGCAAAATCTCCCTGAAACTGTTCGAAGTCATGTGGTGTTAGCTGTTGGATTCATCATCATTGAGGGTGGTGAGAAATCTCAACATGAGGACCACCAATACTGGATGATCCTGTGCAGTAGTGAATCTTGATGAAGAGTGTTTTGAAAGCGGAAACTGGACGATAGGATGAATGCACTTCCTCCAGTTTGACCAGCTCTGCAAACCAGGCCTAAAAAGAAATGAATCAGTCTCAGGTGAATATGGCAAAGATACGTACAAAAAGTGATTCAAATCCACTAACAGTCTCAATAACCTTCTTTTTCTTCAGGTGGGTACATAGAGAGTCCTGTTGACAATGGAGGAATGTTGATGTAGTCTTTTCAGCCTTGTCAAGATCGTACTGCTCCAACAAATGAGAAAATACTGGGCGTATTGCAGAGTTTTCTGGAAGTGAATTATAAATAGTCTTGAATTCATTGACTGAACTGCACATGGTGGTATAGAGAAGTTGCAATGAAGAGTTGAGCCAGCAAGAATTCTTGAACCAGGGATAGCTCGGCAGGTCTTGAACAGCAGGACTGGTAGCAGGAGACTCTGCTATCTTTGGGTCTGGTTTCTTTGGCTTTGGTTTCTTTGGCTCTGGTTCCTTTTTTGTGAAGCTTTTCAATGTCAATTGCTTTTGCTTCACATTTGTGCCCAAGAGTTCCTTGTTTGTGTCTGGCAGGCGTCCATCATTCTTTTTGCGCTTTTTATCTGCAGGTTTTCCGGAGCATGTGGGTTTTGTTTGACCAATATTCTCCTTGACAATCTTCCATCTCTCTGCTTTGCCATAGCAGATTGGCTTCCCTTCTATCGATTTATCTGCATCAGAATACATTCAAGAGACAATAAAAAAGGAACTCATGAGTTGCTCCGTCATGAAGGCGTTCATAATATACAGCAACAGCATGTAAGGGGAGTACATCCCTTCTAAAAATTCATGATCACGGCCGCAGGCACTGTAAAGCTTCCAATGCATCGCTTCCTCTGTGTTATTGTCAGCTGGCAGAGAATCCCAAAGATCAATATCCATTTTTCTCTCAGACTCGAAGAGCATAGACACATGAGCTGGCTGTGTCCACCATTCCATCCAGGAAGCAAGCTTAGGGAAATCGCGTACCAGGAGCAAAGCCTGTGAAGTGAATTCTGCTGAGGTCGGAAGCATTAAGAGGCCCAATGCACGTGTGATAAACACGTCCGCCATTGCAGGTGAAATGACACCAGAGATACGGCTGACACGTGTAACACCAGCACAGTAATGTTCTCTACATCCTTTCAGGAGATGCTCTGCAGCCACCTGAAGCTCCTGCCGATTTCGTGTATTATCAGGTTGAGCCATCCAGAAGACAATGAAGCCTCGGGTGAATCCACTGCTCTCTGCCTCACTGAAGTCCATCACCTGACAAATTTACAATTCAATGAGGGAAAAGTTGGTGGGATAAAAAATGATGACATACCCCTGCGAAGAGATCATCCGTTATGGGAATCCCTCGTGCCTCTGCCTCATGAGCGATGCTCATAATAACTGCAAGGAAGTGGTTCTCGAAGTGGATGGCACTAGCTCCTTTTGAGTAGGATAAGACTCCAGGAACCCAGCATAAGAGTATTGAGCAGTAAGTCGAAGAAACAACAAGGAGGGAGGTTCTCTCCTTCCAAAAGTCATGAGTAGCATTGATACGGTGTGGAAGAACGATAGTTCAACAGAGGGAGACAGAAACTGGTCGTCTACACAAAAAGATGGGAGAAGAAAGGGAAAGACGAGTTGGGACAATAAAGTAAGGGACGAGAGGGACTTAACGCGGATGGCGTGAGAGAACGCGTAGACGAGCGCTCAACGTGCACAGTAGGAAAACTTTAAGTACGCGTATATGCGTCTTTTGAAGTTCTTGCGTGCGTGAAATATTCTTGAGGAGTCCAAATGAAAGCCGAGGTCGACGAGTTCGGAAGGGGAAGAGCGTTAGACGTAAATCACTTAAAATCTTAAAAGTCTTGGTGTGAACGAAGTCAAAAGAGGGGAAGAATACTCCATTCGCAAGGTGGGAGGTCACCTAAATACAAAAACAGAAATCACAAGGCATTCTACACGTTCTCGCGTGCTGCCTGTCCAATAATTCTAAAAAAAGGTCACGACATTCTATAGAACACCAAAAAAAGAAAATGTCCACGGCGCACCCGTCAGATTCCTCTGTCAAACCTTTAGACTGGGGATGACTCGGGGAACCGTCCGATGCTGGGGAGTCTATTTACGGACGCACTGCCGCCCTCAGCGCGGACTTCCCAGCTATCGTTAGCTCGACCCTACCGTCCAGTCCTCGGGTGTGACTTCGGTCTCTTGAGGATACGCCGTTAATATATATATAAAAACAACAACCGTTAAAAAAGAAACAACAATAATAAAATAAAATAAAAAAAGGGAGGGCGTCATGAAAGGATCATGATGCACTTCCACAATAGGTAAAAATTTTAAAACGATGCCCTCATCGTTTCGCAAGAAGGGGGGGGCAAAACAAATGAAAAGTTCGAAGAAAAACTTAGCGAAGAGGAAGAGCGGCGAGAGCCCAAGCTTCGAGATCACGAATGTTCGAATGTTCGAGGAGATTTTCGTGAATGTGGTTCTTCACAATTGCTGAAGAAGCCGTGTACCGGACAAACTGAACCGCATTGTAGTCCATAGGTTCGAGTTCAGCGATAGTAGGGTGAAAGCGATAGTGAAGACTGTGAGAAGTAAAAGCAAATGGAGAAACACTTGGAAAATCTACGAGCGAGCGGTTATCTGGAAACATGGGTACTCCAGCTTTGACAGAAACAGGGTACGATGGGGTAGTGAGCAATCGTTGGTTGAGAGTTCCAATGATGACGGAAGCATAAGATGACGATAAAGAATTGGCGGCGGCATGGAGTGCGTATTCCATAGGATTGACAGTTCTGACCGTTTGATGTTCTTCACGATAATAAAAAATCTTTAAACGATTAGCAGCAATTGAACCGCGCATGACAGTACCATCGAGTTCGCGCAACTGATAGGTCGTGTCTCGAAGCTTGCGATGAATAATATAGGGCCCTGTCCAACGCAGTGCGCCCTTGTTTCCCATCTGGGAGTCGAGCCACGTCTCGTGCAAAAGAACCCATGTTCCAAGAAGAAAATCCCCAGAGGACAACTGACGTTCGTGCTTACTGTTAAAATCATCAACCGCCCGTTGACGCACTCGCTTCTGTTGCTCCATGGCTAGCACCAGTTTCTTGTCCCGACGCAGGATTTGCTGCATGCGCATAGCCAAAAGGTCTTCGGTAGACGCAACTGCATGCCAGTCGAGCGTGTCCCAAGTCCTATCTGCCAAATCAAAAGCGAAGAAGGGACGCTGACCATATAAAAGAAAGTAAGGAGTATACCCAGTTACTCGAGAAGTCGAGCATCGCATAGCCCAGAGTCCTGCATGAACGTAAAGCGGCCAACGGTGCGTTTCTTTTCCACATGCGCGAAGAATCGAGTTGACAAGGGTTTGATGTGACCGTTCAGAGTGCCCATTCCCTTCTGGGTGATAGGGCGAAGAAACAATGACCACAATCCCGTACTGTTTGAAAAGAATGTCAACCGCGCCTTTAAATTCTGAACCGCCATCAACGAGACAAAGGAGAACACATCCAAAACGTGAATATACTTCCTCATATAAAAACTTCGCCCAGGTCTCTGAGTTCGGTTTACGAGCTGCCCGCGCTTCTACCCAAGACATAGCGGGGTCGGTTGCTTGAAGCAAATATTTCATCCCTCCAACACCATCTGGCATGTGGATAGTGTCCAGGTCGAAGCGTCGCAATATTCCTGAATTCCAAGTCGGACTGAAAGGAACAATAGGTCGAGTTTTCGAGCGTAGTTGGCAGACATTGCACGACCGGACAAAGTAGGCGATTTGATCGAACATGTTGGGCCAATAGTACCTTTCAGAAAGCGTCTTGTAAGTGGCATCGCGTCCTCGATGTCCTACATTGTTATGAGCTTCCGCTACAAGGATGGGGCGGCGGTCAAAGTCCACTACAACAAGACGAGGCAACTTCCCTTGAACTTCAATTTTCCAAAGCCGGTTGTCGTGAAGGAAAAACCCTTTTGTCTTTCGAATGAAGGATTTCCGCTTGACCGGATCTTGGCAACGCTCTGGCAAGGCATCGGTCTTCAAGTATGCGATGATCTCAGCCCACATTTCCGGAGAGTCTTCATCCTTTACACCGTATGCATGAGTTGCGCAAGTCACGTCCGTCCGAGGGTCTACGTCTTCATAATTAATCCTGTTGTCAGTTCGCAAGGAAGGATCCGGAATCCCTGGAAGAGTTGACTGATCAGTCACGGTAGGTCGAGGCGCACCTTGTCTTAAAGCAGACATGAAAGCACGAGGGTATCGTTGAATTTCCAACGTGAACACCTCATCCGCCAGCTTGCAGGTAACCAACTCGGCCACATTCACTCGTCTGTGCTCAAATTCTCGACCTGTATACGAAAAATCGTCAGTCAGTGAAAGAAGCGAACGCTTAACAAGTGATCCGTTGCTTGAATCCTTTGTTCCTTTGTCGAAATTCGAGTCCTTCAAACGTTGGAGTTCTGCCGCTAAAGCTGGTGCCGGGTCTTCTACGTGAAGGATAGAGAGGTCTTCAGCTATCGAAGTCGTGCGAAATGAGGCAAAAGGAGTTTGAGGAGTGCGACGCATGATCAATAATAGATCCTTGAAAAAATTGTTGTCAAGTTGCGTAGGTCGAAAAGCGTGCAAAGATTCTGTAGATAAAAAGTTTATTAATGAAGAGACTGAGCAAGCCTGGATCGACGCCGAGCCCATAAACTTGTCCAAGTATTCTTCCGCATCTTCTTCGTCAGAATCCTCGGGGACGCGCTTTCGCCGAGACAACCCATCCACGCTGGCGTGCTTGTCGGCGGGTACGTGATTCATTACGTAGTCGAAAAGTGCAATATATGAGATCCATCTTGTCATTGGTGCGTTCGGGAGGTCAGGTTGCTTCACCATTTCGATCAGAAATTTTGCATCAACGTCAATACGGAAATGGATGCCCCAGATGCGATGTCGAAGGTCCTTAACTGCGCGAAAAACTCCGTAAAGCTCTAACTTCGCCTGGGAATACCTAGATTCAGTATCATTAAAAGTACAAGAGCCGAAAATCACCGGGTGTTTTTCTTTTTCAACCATTTGAAATAATATCCATCCCGTCCCATTCTGACATGAATCTATCCCAACGATGACTAGTCCATGCTCTGAGGTGCGGGGCAAAGGATCTAAATGAGTCATCTGTTTTGCTGCTTCGTAGTCGAGCTTGACCAAAACTGGAGCCGTGGAGATAAGACGCTTGAGTTCTTTTTGCACTGCTTCTGCTTCTGGAGAAAAATAAAATTCTCGCTGGACGGCTAGACGAGTCAGCTGCGTGAGCGGCTTCGCTATGAGAGAAAATCCGCGTATCCATTTCCGCCCAACTCCTGCCGTTCCAAGAAACGACCTGACATCTGTAACACTGGTCAGCGGACCCCAATTCAAAATTTTCGTTACTAATCCATGTTCAAGATGCCATCCATCTTTTGAAACGATGGTCCCGACAATGTGGAGGCGAGGCGTAGCGAGGACAAGCTTCTTTCCAGATGCGGTTATCCCTGCTTCGATAAATCGCGCGAAGAAACGATCCAGAGTAGTTGCGTATTCGAAAACAAAGCGCCGAATGCCAGGTGCGATTTCTTCATCCTCGTAAGTCGAAGTTGGTCCTTTCAATCCGACGTCATCCACAAAAACACCCCCATTTTTGGGAATTTCCTCCTGTAGAGTGTGAGTAGTGCAACGCTGAAATTCTGGAAGCGAATTGGTAGCCCCTTGAGGGAGTACGCAAGAACGATGTGGCCCTATAAGAGAACTAAAAGTAGTGAGAGGTCTTGAAGCGACACCTAGCCTTCGCCCGTCATAACCTGAAAACAAATCTGCGAGGCCATATATTACGTGCCCCACGAAACTCTCTGCAAAGTCATCAGTCCTCGGAGGTAAACCAGCATCACGCACCGTAACCTTGTTGAGTTCTTGAACATCCGCAACGAGACGAATACCCCCTTTTGGCTTGCCTACAGCGAAGATCCGAGATCGATAGGAAGCGGTTGAGTATTCGTATTTTCCCGCCGCTTTCTGATCCAATAGCATTTGCCGGACAGTTTCTTCTATAGCTTTAGGGACGCGAATCGGCGCTTGAACCCAAGGAACGTGTTCAATCACTGGAATTTCATAATCTGGAAAATATTTTTTAGCAAAAGTTCCTCGCTCCGAATCTTCAAATGCCAAAGCAAGCTCCCGCGTCTGCAATACATGTACAAGAAGGTCGAGTTCGCGAGGCTGAAGGAAGCCTTGAGGCACAGATGAAAGAATCTTCTCAAGCCGTTCCTGAGTCAAGCGCTTCATAGGTAAAAATTTTGCAAGTTGAGGCGGATCTAAGGGAAGAGAAGGTAGCGGTGGAATAACTACAGGGAGAAAAACTTGCCCCGCAGGAT